AGGCTGCAAGCAATCCCCAAGAGGCCCCCAAGAGACCCCCGGGAAACTCCCAGGAGGCCCCCAAGAGGCCAGGCAGATCCCCCAAAGACCACCAAGAGGGCCCACCCAGAGCCATCCACGAGGCCTCCCAAAGTTCCCAAGAAACTCCCACGAAGCTCCCAAGGGCTCCCGAGACCCCACGAGGCCTCCGAAAGCTCCCAAGAAACTCCCCAGAGGCCTCCAAGGGCTCCCAAGAGGGTCACAAGTACTCCTCCTGAAAGCTCCCAGAAACATCCATGAGCTCTCCGGGATGCCCCCTGCCCAGATCCCCAACACTCAGTTTTTTCTCGCGTCCCTCACCCTTGGATCCTTCACTGCGTTTTCCTCCAATTTCGATTGCATGAGGACGAGCTTGGGATGGTCCTGGAAATGTGTGGGGGGCTCTGGAGGTCAGCGTGTTGTCGGTTGCGTGTATTCTGTAATCGCAACCAAGAATAGGAATAATGGAAAAACCGCGCATACATCACCGATCCCCAGACGGCCCACATTTGCATGCATTCGGCAACGTGTATGATGTGATATGTCCAGCGCGACTGGCCCCATCCAACTCGAAGTGGTCGGCCTCATCATCCTCCGTCTCCACCTCCTTCTATCCGTCCCTCCCTCCCTCATATCCCTGCCCCACCTCCCTCTCCTCCATGTTCTCCTATTCCTCTTCAGATTTCCTCCCAAAGTGGGGTGGGGCGGACCCCGAGTGGTGGGTGGGGCGACGGAGGAGAGGGGCGCGACGGAGGAGAGGGAGGGAGGTGGGAGGAGAAACGTACACGTCAAAGCTCAAACCTCGAGCCTCGAGGTTAGCCTTCGGGGGGCCTCTTCGTCGCCACGGCCGGGCAACGCGAGAAGCATCAACACCAACAGCGGCACCAGCATTAACAGCACCACCGCCACAAACAGAAACAACGGCACCATCAGCAGCAGCACCAGCAGCAGCACCAACAGCTCGAGAACCAACACCACCATCACCAGCACCAGCAGCAACAACACCAACACCGCCACCGCCGCCAGCATTAGCAGCAGCAACTGAACGGCCTCCAAGACGGCCCAAAGGGTGCTCCAGAACGCCCAAGATGGCCCCAGGACGGCCCGATGGGGCCTCAAATAAGCCCCAAGAGCGCTCCAAGCAGTCTCCCAGGAGGGCTGCAAAATGCCCAAATCGTTGATTTCCATTTGGTGTTTTCAATGGTTTTGGGGGGCTCCACAACGGCCCACGAGACGCCCGACCGGCCCAAGAGAGCTCCAAGAGGGCCCCAAAAGGGACCCAAGAGGGGGAACACGAACCGACAATTCGAGACTTCCGCCCCAGGCATCCCCCATGAGGCCCCAAGAGGCCCGCAAGAGACCCCAAGAGGCCTAAACAGAAGCCCCGATAACCCCCTCCGACGGCCCCCAAGAGCCCTCAAAACTGCCTCCAAAGAAACCTTGGGAAAGGCCTGCCACGATATCTCAACGAACATCCAAGAGGCCTCTGACCTACAACCACGGCGCGGTGGCGGGATGGGCCGAAAACCACTAGATAGCCACCTCGTAAGATAGTAGAGGCGAACGCCCCCACAACAAGCTCCAAACAAACTGCTTCATCCCCATGCGTTCTGCCGCAACGCCTCTGGAAAACGACCACGGCCCACCAGCGCCGCCTGGCTCACGACCGCGCAAGCAAACGCCCGCGATGGCACAATACGGGCCGGCTGGGTGAGCGAAACGATTCAATAACAAGAACCCCATCTTAGGATATGGGGAACAAAAAACAGGCATCGACATAAATTTTCGGAGGGTTGCGCGGAGTTCTTGGATCGGCGCTGGACTCCCCTCCCTAGCGCGCGGAGTTCCGAAAAAAATTGCCTGTGCAGGTTTTTGCTCTTCGAGGGAAGGGCGGGGCCGGAGGCAGCTGTGCTGCCAGCGCTGCTGCCAGCGCGGTCGCTCCAGGTGGGAACAAGGAAAAGCGACGCTGAAACCACCAGGGGCCACCGGCGGGAGGAGTCAGGGGAGGTCCCCCTGGTGGTGTGGTCCCCCCCTCTCGCTCGAAACATCCCCTATCCCCAGTTCGGGGAGGCATCGTGGACATCCTCGCTGGAGATGGACCCCCTGATGGTGATGCTGTCGCTTCTCCTCCCCCCGACCAGTCAGGATGGGGGAAGCGGGTCCCGAGGGAAGCGGTCCCGGACACTGGGGCCTCCCCCAGGCCCAGGTCTCCACCCCGAGTCGTTTTCTCGCAGTCCCGCGGCCCGTGGAGGACTCCGGGAAGCCCCAAACGGTGAAAAACCTTGGGATCCATTGCCCTCAAGACCTGCTGGCCCCCAGGACCAGTTCTTCACCCCGGGTCGTTTTCTCGCAGTCCCGGGGCCCGTGGAGGGCCCTGGGAAGCCCCAAACGGTGAAAAACCTTGGGTCGGGTGTCGGGGGCGCGCAAACATGGATTAGCGATTCATGGATTTGGCGCGCGGTCGCCAAATTCATGGATCGGGGGAGGTGCCCTCCCCCGAATGCGGCGGGTGCCGCCTCGCTCGGCGGCGGAAACCCGCGATTTCCCATGGAAATGGCACCCGTCGCTAATCCACAAACTCTTGATCCATGTTTGCGATCGCCTGAAAACCTCGGGAACAATTGCCCTCAAGACCCGCTGGCCCCCGTGGTGATCCGGGCACCCCGCCCTTTCACTCGGCCGGGCGCTCTCTCCTCGGGCGGGGCGCGCCTCCGCGGCCGCGGGGGGCGGTGGGCGGCCCCACGGTGCGCCCAGGCAGCGGGCCAGCCTCCTCCTCCCCCTCCCCCTCCCCCTCCCCCTCCTCCTCCTCCTCCTCCTCCTCCTCCTTACTCCTCCTCCTCCCTCCTCCTCTCCTCCTCTCCTCCTCCTCCTCCTCTCCTCCTCCTCCTCCTCCTCTTCTCCTCCTCCTCCTCCTCCTCGTCTCCCCCTCTCTCCTCCTTTCCTCCTCCTCCTCCTCCTCCTCCTCCGCCTCCTCTCTCTTCCTCCTCCTCCTCTCCCTCTCCTCCTCCTCCTCCTCCTCTTTCCTCCTCCTCCTCCTCTCCTCCTCCTCCTCCTCCTGCTCCTCCTTCTCCTCTCTACTCCTCCTCCTGCTCCTCCTCCTCCTCCTCATCCCTCTCACTCTCCCTCTCCTCTCCCTCTCCTCCTCCTCCTCCTCCTCCTCCTCCTCCTCCTCCTCCTACTCCTCCTCCTTCCTCCGCTCCTCCTCCTCCTCCTGTCCTCCTCCTCCTCCTCCTCCTTCCTCCTCTCCTCTCCTCCTCCGCCTCTCCTCCCATCCTTCCTCCTCCACCTCCTTCCTCCTCCTCTCCTCCCTCCTCCTCTACTCGTCCTCTCGCCTCTCCTCCTGGCTCTCTCCTCCTCCTCCTCCTCTCCTTCCTCCTCCGCCTCCTCCTCCTCCCCTCCTACCTCTCCTCCTCCCTCCCCCTCCCCCCTCCCCCTCCTCTCCTCCTCCTCCTCCTCTCCTCCTCCTTCTCCTCCTCCTCTGCCTCCCTCTCCTCCTCCTCCTACCTCCTCCCTCCTCCTCCTCCTTTCCTTCCTCTCTCCTCCTCCTCCCTCCTCCTCCTGCTCCTGCTCCTTGTTCCTGCTCCTGTCTCCTCCTGCCCCTCTCCTGCTCCTGCTCTGCTCTGCTCCTGCTCTGCTTCCTGCTCCTGCTCTGCTCCCTCTCCTCCTCCTCCTCCTCCTCTCCTCCTCCTCCCCCATCCTTCCTCCCCCTCCCCCTCCCCTCCGCCTCCGCCTCCTCCTCCTCCTCACTCCTCCTCCTCCTCCTCCTCCTCCTCCTCCTCCTCCTCCTCCTCCCCCTCCTCGCCCTCGTCCTCCGCGCCCTCCTGGTGCGAGGCGGGGGCCACGCCCACCGCGTGCGGAACGCAGTGTCCTGGAGCCCCGTGGGGGCGGGGCGGTGCATGTGGGTAACAATGCAGTCGACCTGTGTAGCGAGGACACACACACAGGATGCAGGGGCCTTGGAAGGCCATGCCGACACTCTGCAGGCGGGGCGCGGCCAGCGAAAGCGGCCAAGCATGGCAACCTTGGAAAGTCGCTCATCTTCACTATGCGGGTTGACTGTGTCCACATCCACCGCCTGGGGAATCGAATGTTCTGGGACCCCAAGGGGCGATGGAAATGGGCACCCGTCGGTCGGAAGAGGTGGGTAGAAACAGAAAGTAGGAAGGCGTTGAACGTAGATGGGGTCTCCGCCCGCCACGTGAAGAGGAGAGAACGGGGAACACCGCTCGATCATTGAAGTAGGAAGGCGAAAAAGTAGATTAGGATCTGGAAATCCAATTTCCCCCCACAAGCAACGGACATTAGAAGTCCGCTGCCCCTCAGGAGGGCAATCACAATAGCGCAACCAAAACCGCGATGGGAACAACTCAATGGCAATCTAAGCTGTCGCAGCTGTAACCGTGCAGGCGCCGAATAAAAGCCACCAGGACATGGAAAAGGAGGAGGTAGACGAGGAGGTGGAGGACAAGGAGAAAGAAGGCATCGGCGTTGCGCGTGCATCCCCCATGGCTCACCCGACCATTGTATAAGAAGGCCCAGCACAACAACAATCGAAGAGGAGCAACCCACTTTCAACGACCGGCGAGTACTCATATTTTGACCCCTTGAGGCCCACATGTATCCATATCCACCGCCTCCATAAGTCCAGGAATATCGACGTCGCAGGCGGTGGATGCAGTGGCCAGTCCACAAGAAACCTTCCACAAGGAACCAAGCCCTGAGACCCCAGGACGTCCATGGATTTGTGGTGTGGGAACGTCATGCCCGCCATAACAAAAACATCGACACCCAAGAAACCCAGGGCACCCTGGAGGCAAGCAGGGTGTTTCTTGGCATGGGTCTCTGTAAGGATGAATCCCCGCCTTTCCTCTTGGCCCCTGCGACGAATACAGCGGCTGGCCGCCAACAGCGATCGGGGCCTGCAGGGGTCATATGACTGGTAAGGCCACTGGCGATGCCCGAAGGCGTGGGAAGGCCGCGACCTCCTCGAAGACGCCCGTCTCCACGGCCTTCTTCAGCTCCACCTCCTCCAGATCGTTGGCCTCCTTGGCCAACTCGTTGGCCCTCGCGGTCCTGCCGGTCGGCTCTGAGCGTGCCTCTCTCTCTGTGCCCTCCTCCTCCTCCTCCTCCTCCTGCCATCTGTAGCGGCATGTTCACCCATGCAACTTGATTTGAGACGTGTATCCTCTGGACGCGCAACCGCGCGCGAACTCTTATCCCCGAGCCCAACCAATGAATGCCTCACGAACGCCCACGTGGGTCCTCCGCCTCCTGATTTCATCTTCCCTGTGTCCTTCCCTCGGTGGTTCAAAGCTGGGGCCCTGGGGTATGGGGCCCTGTCCCTAGAACGGCCTCCCAAATGGGGTCCGAGAAGATGGTGTCGGAGGATCGCGCCGCATCGCCGATGCACCTGCGACGTCGGCGCGGCATCGGAGCCGTCGGCGTGGAGAGAATCGGCTCCCACAATTTGCCGCAGCGGCGACGTATCGGCGATGCAGCGCGTTCCTCTCTGACCCCACCTGCTCGGACCCCGTCTGGGAGGCCTCGACTCCCTCAGGGCCCGATCCTTGAACAGCCGACTCCTGGGCTCCAAGCAGCGAGTGGCCCACCGCCTCCCACTGGCTGCGCATCTCCAGCCCTGCTGCACGTATCAGCCTGCTCCCCCCCTGGCCCGCCGCCGCCCAGCCGCGGCTCTGCTAGCCGTGCTCGCCGCGTTCCGCTTTCCGAGCCCGAGCCCGGGATCTAAGCCCGAGCCCCAGCCGAAGCCCGAGCCCTCGCGCCCGAAGCCGTTTGCCCCGGGGCTCGCGCCCGTGTCCTGCGGCGTCATGATCGCCGATGCCTCGAGCGGTTTCTGCGATGCTCCGCAGAGGCCATGCCCGCCCTCAGCTGGCTGCAAGGTGAGCTCCTCGATCGCGTCGGCGCCGCCGGAGTCCCGCGCTGCGTGGGCACGGTGAGCGAGGAGCAAGGCATCGTCTTCGGCGCTGGCCCCCCTCCCCCGGTTGCAGCAGCAGCATCGGCCTCTCTCGCCGTGGCGTCGCGGCCCCCGCGTGCGAGCAGGTAGAGCCCGTCGCGGTGGCCAGCGGCTTGCCTGTCAGGTGGCCGCCAGCTGGGTCTTGGGACCCCTGGGTTCGTCCAGGGCAGAGAACGCCTTCCTTCTCACCCGCAGGTGCGAGGCCGAGCTGAAGTACGGGAGTGTCTCGGCATTCGTGACCATGGGCCGACAAGGCAGCGTACCAGGCTTCGTGAGCAAACTGGCGACCTTTCGCGTCGGGAGCGTCAAGCATGGACACGGACCAACGCTGTACTGGGGCTTCGGTGTCGGCTACAGCGCTGGCCGCGGGGGCTCCACCAGGCAGGATTGAAAGGATTGGACCCGTAGCGACAGGTTTAGAACTGGTTGTGGGCACGGTCTGTGGGCACACACACACACAATTTGAATCTGTGTCAAGTGTGTTTTTGGGCGCGTGTGTGTGTGTGCTGTAATGCTAAATCGGCGGGCGTACTGAATGTTTCACCAGCCTGCGCCATCCGCGGCATCGGGACGGGCTGACCCCTCCCTTTGTCCGGCGCGTCTATAAACGGGGGGGACGTTCAGGGGCACGAGTGGACTCGGCCCGAGGCATGTGCGCGGACGAGGGGTGGGGTGCCAAGGACCGCATTGAAAGAAAAGAAGAGGCGGCCATACTGTCCACGTCACCCCTCTCGTGGACGCCCCCGTTTGCTGCCTCGGGCAGGCGCAAACCGAGATCAGCGCAAGCCTGGGGGGGCGGCTGTGGCCACACCGCGAACACGAGGCAGTCAGGACGATGCAGCCCCCCCAAAACTCGGAGCCCGCGGTAAGAGGATACCCATCGGTCGGAAGAAGTGGGTAGAAACGTGAAGTAGGAAGGCGTTGGAAGTAGATTGGGCTTCCGCCCGCCCCGTAAAGAGGAAGGAAAAGGGGAAGACGCTCGTTGATTGAAGTAGGAAGGCGCCTAAAGCAGCTTGGGATCTGGAAATCCAGAAATACCCACCTGGCCCCACAGGCCAGGAGAGGCGGAGGACCTGGGGGCATGATTGGCTACACCCACGTTGACACCGACTCGCTGTTGGCTCTCGGACCACAGCTCGGACCTCCGCCCATCCCCTCGGAACGCTCGCGACGACGAGCAACGTATGGACACCATCCCGGGTCCCGAAAACCGCTGCGAACTCCTGAACACCAAGACCCTTCCCGAGAACCTTCCGAACACCCTCCAGATGGCCGCCCTTTGTCACGCGGGCCCCAGCCGAAAACCGCTGCGAACTCCTGAGCACCAAGTTAAGTGAGATACGCGTGCACTCAACGGAGGAGGAGGAGGAGAGGAAAGGACGAGAGAGGGACCAGGACAGGGCGATGGTATTTTCATGGCAGCGTGGCGACGCGCATCTCCGCCGAGCGTGGGCCCTGGTGGCCCCACGCTCAACGCGAGCGCGTGGGCCCTGACGGCCCGCGCGCTCGCGCTCTGGCACGCCTGCGGCCGCTCGGCCGACGCAGGCGTCTGGGAGCAAAGCGGGGTGGGTGGGCACCCGCGCGTCGGCCAGAGCCGAACGCTACGGACCCAAAATGGCTACCTGAGCCCACACCCCCTCCCACTTAACCTGCAGTCTACAACCAATCAGACTATACAAGTTAAGTGAGATACGCGTGCACTCAACGGAGGAGGAGGAGGAGAGGAGGGGACGAGAGAGGGACCAGGACAGGGCGATGGTATTTTCATGGCAGCGTGGCGACGCGCATCTCCGCCGAGCGTGGGCCCTGGTGGCCCCACGCTCAACGCGAGCGCGTGGGCCCTGACGGCCCGCGCGCTCGCGCTCTGGCACGCCTGCGGCCGCTCGGCCATGAGAAAAGAAAGACGCAGCCGCGCGCGCGGGGGGGGGCCCCGCCCGAGTGCGAGGGCGGGATCAGAGGCTGCAAGAGCCTCGCGCGCGCGGCCACTTGCCTGCAACCTTGAGGCCTTCCGCGCCCGCGCACCCAGAGCGCGGGCGCGGCGCGTGCGCGATGCGCGCAAAAGAACCGAAAAGGGTGGCGGCGCACGAGGCGCCGGGCGCAGAGCGCAAGTGTGGCCCCGACCGCACGGCGCGCAAGACGCGCAGCACGGCCGGGTCCAGGAAGCACGCGACGTGCGCGCAGTGTTAAACTCCTCCAAGAGGAAGGATCGCAGGCGCCACCTGCGTACCGTAGGCTAAAAGAAAAAGATCGCAGGCGCCACCTGCGTACCGTAGGCTAAAAGAAACAAGCTCGCAGGCGCCACCTGCGTACCGTAGGCTCAAGGATCGCAGGCGCCACCTGCGCACGGTAGGCTGAGAGGAGGGCCGACTCACTCACAGGCCGCCGCCGTCAGCCCGCGCCCGCGATGCCGCGGGCGCTGGCGTCGGGGTACGGGGGGGGAGCTCCACGCCTAGATGGAGGGCGTGTTCCCCCGGCGGTCGCGGCTCTCGCCTCCGCTGCGGTCTCCGCCGCGCTCACTGGGGTCCCGGGGGCTGCTGCCATCGCCGCCCCTCGACGCGCGACCGTCCGCGCTGGGCCAGTCGCGCTCACTCCGGCCGCGGCTGCCCTGGTCGCCCTTGGAGTGGCCGCCCTTGCCGCTCTTGTCGCCCTTGCCGCCGCTCTTGGAGCCCTTGGCGGCCTTGCCGGAGTACTTGCCCTTGACCTTGCCGCCCTTGCCGCCCTTGTCGCCCGCGCCCTTGCCACGCCAGGCTGGGATCCCACCCCCGCCCGCGGCAGCCTCCGCGGCGGCAGCACGCCGCCGCTTTTTCTCCTGCTCGTACCAGCCGCCGCGAGGAGCGCGAAGCTGCCCAGCGTGCTTCCCGGTCTTACGCCGCGTGCGGCCGGGCGGGGTGTCGCCGCGCCGCGCCCACGCTGGGTCCCGCGCCAGACTGTGGCTGGGCGACCTCTCGCGCTTGGGCCGGTGGCGGCTGGGCGACCTCTCACGCTTGGGCCAGCTGAGGTCGCCCGGCGGGCGGTCCCCCTCAGCCCCCGCACCCGTGGCACCCGTGCTGGGGCGCTCGCCATGGCCGACACTGGGGCCCGGCGCCTCCCGCACGGTGTGGCCGCTCCGCCGGGCCTTCTCCACCACCGTCTTGGGTTTGCCGAAGGCGACGCGGCAAGCCTCGCAGTAGCTCACGTCGCACCCCTTACAGTGCCACCGCAGGGCTCCGCTGTTAGCTCCGCCCGCGGGGCACATCTCGCAACCCCAACCGTCTCCCGGGTCAAAGGAGCTCCAGCGCATCTTGAGTGCGCATGTCGGGCAGGCAGGCGGCTGGATGGTCGGCCCATCCTCCCCGTCGCTGCCTGGGTCAGGGCCGCGAGGCCGGCTCGCCCACTCCGTGACCACCGTGCACGGGTCCGTCTTGTAGAACCGATAGTTCGACCTCATGCACTCCCGCGCGCGCTTTGCGTCAGCGCGGCGCTGGAACTCCACCAGCACGCACGGCTCCCGCTTGTGGCGGTGGTCGTACAGGAAGGCGATGTGTTTGACGACCCCGAAGGGCACGACCACCTGCCTGACCACCTCGGCATCGACGTGGTGCGGTACCCGCTCGATGCGGATGATGGACTCGCCCTCGTCGTGCTGGTCACTGGGCTGCTGCTGGGCGCCCTGGCGCTGCTCCTCCTTGCGCCTACGGCGGCTCCTCGAGCGCGGCTGGCGCTGGGGCGGCCCGTCCCCCGCGCCTGGCGCCTCCTCCACCTCGGTCTTCACCTCGAAGGACCGCGGCGGCGCCCCCCCGCTCTTGGGCTTCAGGACGGCCTCACGCTTCACGATGTCGGCCTTCGGGGGGGCGCCGCCCGTCTTGGGTTTCAAGACGGCCTCCTCCTCCTGTCCCCTGCGCCCGCGATCGCGAGGCGCATCGCGCTCGCGATCGCGGCGCCTCGCGCGCGAGGCGAGCGCAAGGGCGCAGGGCGCCTCTCGCGCTTGCGGACCTCTTCGGCGAGGCGCTCCTGGCCCGGCGACCGCGCGGGCCGCGGGCGCGCCTTTGGAGCGCCTTTGCTCTGGCGCCGCGCGGCAGCCTGGATGGCCGCACGCGCCAGCGCCGCGGTGACCGCGTCCTCT